CCACAAGAAAGAACAGTGTATGTGTAATCTCTCTAATATTGTGTTGGTCATACTATACACTGATCTACTGCTTGTCCGTTTTGAATAATACAGAAAGTAAAGAGCTTAAAAATTAATCGCATTGTAAATCGCAATCGCAATATTGGTAAAAAAAATCGCAATTAGATTATTTTCCAAAATCGTTAAGGCCTAATCTGGAGGGTTAGATTGAGAGGCTTACAACTCAGCCAGGGCCAATCTGAGGAAGGGAATTTGCCAGGCCTAAACACACACATATACAGAGGATTGAAGAGCGCTTCAACTCCTCAGACCCACGACAAATTTGGTAAGGCGTACAGACTTTAAATCACCCAGCACTGTGCCTCCCTCCCGCTCTGCTTCTCTCCCTGACAAACTCAACCTCTTCTACGCTCGATTTGACTGAGTACATCAGGATGCTGTTAATTGACATCAGTTCAGCATTTAACATTGTGATCCCCTCTTCTTACTACCAGACTCCAGTCTGTTAAGTTAGACAACCTCTCCTCCTCCACTATCAACCTGAACTCTCTATATTCCTTGATCATGCATGACTGTGTTCCTGTTTATGGCTCCAACCATAATCAAGTTTGCAGATGACACCATGGTGTTAGGTCTGATCAGAGATGACAATAAGTTGGCCTATACAGATGAGGTACAGTGTGGTGTGCCGACAACACCAAGAAGACCAAGGCGATCATTGTGGAATGCAGGCAGGCTGGGAGCCATGCACACACCCCCATATACATAAACGGAGCTGTAGTGGAGTATGTGTCAAGCTCCAAATTCCTTTGCATCCACATCTCTGATGATCTCCCTTGGTCACTATATTTGAAGATTTTAAAATCTGATATTCTGATATATCAGTCAACATTCTTTTGTTTTATTCTTTTCAGAAACATATAATATAAACAAAGATTATTTCTAACATTTGTTATGCATAGTTAAGAGACCTCACCAAGATAACATGAAATAATACAGTTTAAAAAGTAAATTTTTTTATTGTTATAAATAGTACTTTGATCAAAAGTACAGCTGATTTTGTCAGTTGATTGCTGTGTTTTGCTGTGTTTTGGTGGGGATTAGTGTGGTGGTGATGGGGTAATGGATAAGACACGTGCCTCCACTGTGACACCAATGTGTCCCTGAGCAAGACACTTAACCCCTAGTTGCTCCAGAGGCATGCGACCTCTGACATATATAGCAATTGTAAGTCGCTTTGGATGAAAGCGTCAGCTAAATGAATAAATAAATAAAAAAAATTTAAAGTAGCAGGTGTTGCCAACAGGGGAGATGCCCTCTGGTGGACATAGTATGCAATAACTTTGTATAATTTAAAGAGCCGTCTGTTTCTTTTTTAATTGTCATTTACTGGCTGTTATAAACACAGATACCAATTTATCTGCAATTTGCTCATATCAGTCGATAGCATCAGCACACCGATCAGTCTGTCTCTAAAACCTTACATCTGCATATAAAGTTGAATCTAATCTAATATGAGCAGACTGTAATGTTTAATGACCAGTTTGTGGGATGTCTATGAAGATTCTCAATCATCCAGGTCATAGTTATCCAACGAGGGTTAAAATGAAGGGCAACTGGACTTGGTTGAAGATACTGGAAGACGTTTCGTCCCTTATCCAAAGGACTTCTTCAGTTCTGACTGACTGGCAGGGAAACTCAGCTATTTAACCTCAGTGGGGTCGTTATCCCGGGTCATCGATACCGCTGGTTCGTTAGTGTTCCTTGGTGTTGTGACGACAGTCGTTACAGTCGTTGAGACTACCTGTGGCCAAGACTGAACGACCATCGTTGGTATCTTCACCTGAGGCCAATAGGTTACGTTTGTTGAGTTTCCTGGGAAGTGATGAAAGGACAGCATTGTAAGTGGGGGATAAGTGGTGGCGTAGACCCCCTCCCCTGTTCAATGACGGCTTCTCAACCCTGGTGTAGATGGCTTCCTTGACACCTCTTTCAAACCATCCATCTTCTCTGTCTAAAATGTGCACCTGGTGGTCCTCAAACAATTGTCCTCTGTCCTTCAGATGTAAGTAGACTGCAGAGTCTTGACCTGAGGAGTTGGCCCTTCTGTGTTGAGCCATGCGTTTGTGTAGTGGTTGTTTAGTCTCCCCAATATACAGGTCTGTGCATTCCTCACTGCATTGGACCGCATACACTAGATTGCTTTTCTTGTGTTTGGGTGTGCGGTCTTTGGGGTGTACCAGCATCTGTCTTAGTGTGTTCTTGGGTTTAAAAAACACAGGGATGTTATGTTTGTTAAAAATCCTCCTGAGTTTCTCTGATACTCCAGACACGTATGGAATCACAATGTTGTTGCGTTTGTGGGAGTATTCTTATTTTCCAAGCTTTGATAGGAGCCAAGCTGGGAACATATGTATATTACAGCCATTGTGTACATTACTGCTGCTTGCGCATGCTCACACTGCCCTTACTACTTCACATGGGTCTCTAATCCCTAACCCTTATTGTTTACTACTCGCTACATTACACAGATATGAATACATTTTGTCACATATATTGTTAATGGTTCCTATTGATTATTTCATTTTCAAATTTGTAGTACTCACCTCAAGTGCGTAACAGCCACACGATTAAATCATTTATTCCATTTTCAAGTTATTGGAGGGCTTATACAGAAGTTAGCCAGCTCGGCCTGCATAAGTCTCTGGTGTGCTTGTTCTATGGGCCGCCATCGTGGCCAAGGGAGGCGGGGTTAAAGGAAACGCTAGTGTGTTTGCTCCTCTGCGGAAGCTATGTGGAAGATCCGGGTATTTTTATGCACCACTGGGCAGCTTTCAAAGGAATGAACAGAGCCCCACCTCCAAAACTGTATCCACTTCTTATACTACCATGAGTTAATGAAATGAAAATAGATGTGTGGTGGGTGTCAAAAGGTGTCGATTGCGTGAGTCTCACCAATTAAAACTAGTACATCTTTGTGTTGTATGTTCCCACTGTGTGGAATTCCTGGATACTATCAGAGTTAAGGCTAATGTTAGCAGCTCTGTCCTGCTCTTTATTGGATTTGGGGGAAGATTGCACTCCAGCAAACATTAAAAAAGATAGCATTAGATTTGCCAAACACATCAGTTAGTCCTTGTCCTAAAAGCCTTTTCTCTTACAGCCTAATGTTAACTGACTGGCTCTAGACTGTAATAGAAGAACACTGCTGTTTTTTATTTCATGTCTTCTGATCAACTACTGAGGACTTCCTGGGACAAGAAAGTTCAGCTTCTTGCTTCTTTTAGCACAGTATCATTTATCGAGTTCTCATTTTAAAGCAAGTAAGCTGTAAAGACGAAGTCAGCTGAGACGGTGTTGTCAACCAACTTATGTCACTACTGTTAGCTTAATCGGTTTTAATCACCATGAACATTATTATAAATTTTACATATGCTTCGCACATTTCTCGGAATTCTCTTCTCCCCACACTCAGGCACACAAGAGGCCTAAACACACCGGCTTGCCCCGCCTCTCTTTGTCTCCCCCCTCGCCCGTCTATTCCACTCTCTCCATTAACAGTACGTTTTATAAAGTCGCCTAATAGACACAGAACCCGTCTTTATTACGTATTTTACCACCCGCGATCCGTTATCACGGTAGCAGGTGAGCCGCTTGTGGGCTTGTTAATGATGCAGCCTATCAAACAACCGAAACCAACGTCTGCAGCCTGTGTGTTCACTGCTGCTATACCTGGTCAGTGCGTGTAAAATTTCCACCGCGACTTGTAACGTCATAGGCTACAAAGTTTAGAACCGAGTGAAATCTGTGCGAGTGAACACATGCACATAAAACGACCGCTAAAGAAGGTCAGCAGCAGAACCTTTAAAAAAAGAGATTTATGGATGTTTAGGCTACAGTAAAACTCCTGAAGCTAGTCCGAAATTACTGAGATCGTTATGATGTCTAATAAAAATCACAACTTGCTCAAGTGTCGTTATGTTTGGTTTATTTACGATGTGAAAATTCGGATGTTGTCAAGGAAGATAATCCGGTGTTGGCGAGGGATGATCCGGTCCTGGTCTGCTCCGGTCCTGGTCTGCCCCCTAGTGGATTCAGATTTAATCCTCCAGATACACGCAAAGTAAGCAGGCAAGTTTGTGAACAATGCCGTTTGCGTCGCCGACGCCTGTCTACGCCTACGCATTGTAAAAAAGCAACTATATCCGGGGCTTAAGACGACCGCTACTATGATTTACCTCCATACTCATACCCCCCCAGGATGCGATGCCATTGTCTATCCCATTCAATGTAGACATCGTCCGATGGAAATTTTGTAGAGACCTACTTTTGTCTACCTATGTCTGAAATCAAGGACCAGTTGTTAACTTTACTCCATTTCAAATAGTCAGTCTGCACCAGTCTGAGAGACTGGTCAATTAGCACTACAAACACACTCAGTGTAATAAAGTAAAGGTAAAATATAACACCTTAAAATGTCAAAACAAAGTACAGTATTAAGCTGAAAAATAAGATTATTTCTTTGAACACCTATGCTGCTTAAGATATTTTTATCCTCATCCTCCTGTGACATAGCCTAATGCTGACAATAAATATTGTGTCATGCTATTATTAAATAACCAATCAAAAACTAATAAATAGCCCACAATATATACTTTTTGACACAACCTACTGCCTTTTTATTTTGTGAAAAGAACACATTGAAAGCCATTTGACACTACTGTCTAACATCAACTTCAGGCATGTATTTTATTGTGTCACATGAGGCCCTGGAGAGTCACTAAAATCTACAAACTTTTTTTTTGGTCACAGAAAGTGTTTCTGTTCAAAACAAACAAACAAAAAAGGTTATTGGTGCCTTCACAAGCAGTTAGACAAGAACAGAAAATATGATCAGCAGAGCCCAAAGTACACAAACATCACACACACTTTCCAAAAATACACTAAATGACAATTATCACACAATGATCACACAAAAAGCGCTTGGAGAAGAGACATACCAGCTGCAGCCAGGCATTTGTGATCAACACTTGGTTCTTTTCATCCTGGAAGGGAACAGGAGGAGAGAGAGAGAATAATCAGCAGCAAGTAGACGTGGCTGTACACAGATAGTGAACGAAATGATTCCTCAGGGTGAGAGAAAATAAAAAAATAAATCCTGCATGTCTGGTAAACATGAGAGGAGATTATGAGAAGGATCAGCAATGAAGTCAAACTGCAACCCAGATGACTCAGAGCTGGTGTGCTCACTGAATGACAATGATGCACTCCAGTTTTTTTTTTTCTTGTAATGTAATGCAACAGAAGCCATGGTTTGGCATTTTTAACAATCCTGAGATCATAAATAATAAGTAAATGAAAAAAAGACAAATAAAAAATAGAGAAAACAACAATTTCACACATTGGAAATAGACAGTGACACTGAGCAGAAAGTATCTTCAACAAAACGATGAGTTTACAGCAGTTTACAGCAATTTCCATCAACGTCATGAAAACAAACTATAATACACAGATTCAGTGGCTCCAGCTGCACTTAATGATGTTTCACAAGGGTCAGTTCATGGTCAAATTGTCAAATTGAAGGAGGGGTGAGAGGAATGTAGACTGACAGAGAGAAAGAAGCTGAGCAGACAGAGACTGAGATTATTCATAAGACTGCGAAGACAAAAAGAACAAGGTCAGAAGCAGTGACACAAGAAAGATAAGAAAAAACCTGAGGGCATATTTAGAGTTTGTTTTGTAGAATCCTACATGACAGCGACAGGTTTTGCTCCTTGTTACACACTAGTTTGCCTTTGTGTCTGACGGGTTACCTCCCCCTTACCACTGAAAAGAAGCTTGACAGTTAGCGGGTCACAGCAGCATCTTCTTTTCTCTGTTTCTTCCTGGATTAGTCAGTTTTTGCTTTTATAGAATCACTTAAAGGATTTATCACGTTATCTTCTACCCATGACCAAAGCTGGAATAACACCACTAGTAAAACCCTTTGAAAACTTTTCCTTTAATGTTTCTGTGGTAAAATCAAATCATGAAATCAATTTTCTCACTTTGTTTCTTTCTATTTCTCATCGCGGCAGACCTAATCTATAGTACAGTTTTTTATCTTATCACAGAGTTTCATACTGTTCTCGCTTTTTTCATCCTGCTTTTTTCTGTCTCTCATGAATGAATTTCAGAGGTGGAACTTGAAAAATGTTACGTTGAGAGACAGTCACACAAGAGTGTGCTTAAACTTAACCTTAACTGTGCACAAGATAGTTGAATATCTGGTTTCATAATCCTTTACTAAGGGGCCAGGAGCCATATTATAGTTGTCAATCATGTTGTGAAACCCTCTCCTTATAGAATCAAATAGCTTATCCAAACAAAACTCATCAGAAAAACACTTGAACATACATCAGTGTGATAAGAACTACCTAAAATGACAGAAACCATCTTTGGGAAAAATGTATATGACGTATACTTTGATTTTTTTAATTTGCCCCATCCGCTAACATGGAGGGGGCAAGGTTTATGACGTATACTGCTGCCAGCCACCAGGGGGCGATGGAGATGTTTTACCCTCTATGGTTTTGCATCAACCTTTGGGGAGCTGTCATGTCATCCATTTTTATATAGAGTCTATGGGCTATATCAGACAGTTCTCATCTCAGGGCGTCCAATACCAACGTTTTCAGAAAAAGTGACAAAGCGTAGTTATTTGACGCTAAACGTACTCTTCAGCATGTGTGTGAGACGCTCTGGGGCGTCTCATAAAGACTGTAAGTGCTAGTACATTCATGCTGAAGGTGTTGACAGCCCCCCGAAGCCCTCTACCCTTACCAGTCCAATGTGCACAGCTGTAGGGTTAGCCTCCTTTGTGTTGCTGCGACGTAGCAAACGGTGGTGTTTCATACGGACACTGAATGTTACCTTAAGCGTAAAATAATTACACTTTGTCCCGCTGTCTGAAAGCGTCGGTAATGACTCACTGAGATGAGAACGTGTTGGCCTTTTAAATGCTTGGTAGTAAGGTAAAGTATGTACAATTTGTAGTTAATGGGAAAAAAACAGGTGCTTGAGTTTTAAAAAGACATATAGAGGATTCATTTGTTAATCTGTACTGTACTAAGTGATTGATAACAGCTTTTTCTAGAAATAAAGGCAGCATGTGTGGAGACCGTCATCAGCACTCATCCCTCTGCCTGTTAGTTACCATAAGTATAACTAATGAAAACTAATGCAGTCTAATACATCAGTTCCGCAATACATCCTCCCTTCTTGAAGGTTATAATGTTCCATTTTTGCTGAAACTGTTTTACAGAGGTCTTGATCCAACTTTATGATCATTTTGGATCCTTGTGGTTCTGGAATTGTATTGAGTTTTACTGAGATGTGCAGGGTGCGATTTGTGTCCCCTGAAGAGGAACTGTGGATTGATTGCAATGTTTAAAAAAGTTTTCTCCCACTGTTACTAAATAAATATGGAGCGATACATCACGATTCAGAGCTGCACGGAAGACACAGAAAATGCATGCTGTATTCAACTCTAAGGTGACTTGAGTGGGAAGTGAGTGATTTAAAAGCCGTCACTTTCAAGAGTGTCATTTAGTGAAACCCTATAGCTCAGTCTTCGAGCATGTTCACTGGTGTAACATGGACAGTGGGCTGCTTGTCATCATTGAAACAGATCATCAGACTGTGATGTTTATTGCAGCTTCAGTAATATCGACTGCCTTTACCTTTGACACACAGCTCCGCTGCTCGCCGCAGCAAATATCTTATGACTGTTGATAGGCTATTTTTCGCGACTTGTAACCATCAGATGCCTTGAGCGGGATATTGAACATGACAAAAGAGTAGTGATTACAGAAAGAGGGAGGCAGCTACATCCGAGCCAAAGTAACGCATTTTAAAATAAATGTGGGTGTTATAGTGGGTGTAACAGGGCTGATACTGCCTATGCAGCTGAGCGAAATAGAAAGAAAGAAAGGTCAGCCCCCCCCCCCGCAAATCGCACCCTGGAGATGTGTAATATTGTTTGTCCACCTTCATTGATTTAAGAGCACTGCACCATCTGTGCCTCTAATGAAAGGAGTGGTTGTTCATATCTCACTCATAGGATGAGTTCTTAAACATGATTTACCTAATAAAGCCCAATATTGATCCAGTTAAAGGTATTCTGTACATTTCATGCCACTATTATACTTCTACTCCATCACATTTCAGAGGCAAATCTGTATTTGTACTTTTTACTCCACTACACTAGTTATTTTTCAAGTTAAGACTTTACAAATTTATAAAATAAGCTACATTGCTAAAGACTAAAAAACTGCTTCCTCACCTTGTGACCCCTCAAAAAAGCAGTTGGGGTCCATGTCACATTTTAGATACTGTATCTAACAGTTCCCCAAAGAGTGATTTAAATAAATCTAAAAATGGTTTCATTTAACTAAATATTTAAAGCCCAGGGGTCTGCCTTTGAAGGCGCATTGCTATGCCTTTCTGGTGATCTGTGGAATAGCTTGAAACAAATTGCAGGATGCAAATGATGCCAACAACTTGCTTGCACGCAAACCTGCTCACATGAGCGCGCTCGCACGGATTCACTCTTGCTCTTGTGCACAATAAAAATAAAACAGGGTCACACTCTTTACATAGCTCCATAGTGCTTCTACTGTTGAAAAACTCCACAAGGTACCTTTAACTTTGACCAGATAATAACTTTTATGAAGTCTGGGGTTTTCATGTCCGGTAAAATTTTGCGTTTCTCTCAGTCCGGTTTCCTACCATTATCCTCTGATAAAAGGACTTTTTTGACATGGACAGTGATGCAATAAAAATTTTAAACATGGGATTTGGGATCACTTGTTTTTGCAGTCATATAATTGTCAGATTTTAAACACCTATACCTATACACCTATACAATTTTCATCATTACAAAGATGTATGATCAACTTCAAAAGGGACTCAAACTCTGTCATCAATGACGTGCAAAGCAAACTCCCTGCTCTTACTTCTTGTGAAGTGAAAATCGATTCCCGCCGCTCCTCACCACCTCCCTAACTCCCTCCACACTCCAATCTTATCTCCACCTGTCCTTTCTGATCTGTCCCTCTTTTAAACAGCCTCCTTTCTCCGCTTCTGAAATAGAACAGCCTCCCATTGTGTGCTTCACAAAGCAATATTTTTAAGTCCCTTTGGTGTGTGTGCGCACCATCGAGGTTGGAGTGTTGTGGCTTTGGTTTGGAGGTGGCTGTGTTTTCGCTCTAATTTGTGCCTGACCTTTCTTTCTTTCTATTTCGCTCAGCTGCATAGGCAGTATCAGCCCTGTTACACCCACTATAAACACCCTAATCGCTTCATTTCATCTCTTTTCTTTCAATCTCGATCAGAGGGTCAGTGTTTCAAATATACTGGATCAACAAAAAGTGAATACAAGAAATCCTGAAAACAGGAGTCATATCTCAGAATCATCTATCATGCTTCCTGCTCTTGGCTTCACTTTAGATTTTCATAAATTTCCTGAAAGACATATCTTTAACAGGCCATTGGGATATAAAGGATGAACAGGATGCCCTCTCGTTTTAATGGTTCAACAAATGCGATGGAATATCTGCTGCACCACAAGAGTCTGTGCAGACAGGGTGCAACGCAGCCTGGTTTAGCCAGAGCACAATGAGAAGTGTCTGTCTTCATATACTTTCTTGTGTTTATATTGATAGAATCAATATAAGCACATGCAGAGAACTGCCAGCTATATTGTGGAAAGCAGCATTTATTAAGAGGAATGTTTCTGAATCTTCACCAGCAAGGCTCATTACCAGTAACAATATGATCCCTATGCCAAAGCTCTTGATGTATACCTTTTGCTTCTTTGACTGTTTCTTTCATTCTTTTTTTCTATACTTACATGTTACTTACATGTAACCTTGGAGGTGGTACAAGAAGTATTTCAATCCTTTACTTAAAGGAAACATTTAGGGAAATATGCTTATTCGTTTTCTGGCAGTGAGTTAAGACCCATTCGGCCTGGATTTATTTCTCTAGAGATGGGGTGATTTTAACATTGCCTGGTCAGTGATTTTAATCTCGTCTTGAGCGTGGGTTAATGTGGGTAATTTTTCACCCCCACACCAGGAATACTTGCAGCTACAATTACATACTGAGTTTTTCATGTGGAAAGAGTTGCTTTTCCTTGCACTGCATTTTATCAGCTCAGTGTGAAATGAGACTTTTGCGTATAAATGTAAGTCGAAAATGTTTTTGATAATCTGAGAAGCATGTTAACTCCATTATATAGGCCTATTTGGAAACCAAGACAACAAAGGAAAGAAAGTTAAGCAGGAGGGCAAGACCTTGTAAGCTCATCAAATAGGCTTTTGTAATCTCAGCTACAGCTAGGCACTGGTATTCTCTTTTGGCTTTGTTTTGGCTTATCCCACCTCTGCCTGTACTGTTAATACTGTCTAAATGGAGCTATAGATGAGAAGATTATATATGTCTCATGAGAAGCTAGGGCCAGCAGCTGGTTAGCTTAGCCTAGCATGAGGACTGGAAAGAAGGGGAAACAGCTAGCCTGGGTCTATCCAAAGTTAACAAAATCTCAGACCAGTACCTCCTTTGTTTAATCTGTACGAAATGACAATGAAAAAGGGTACAGATGACAATTAGCCGTTTCATGGGGGGGTTGTTCTGGATTGTTTCTTGGCTCTAAGCAAGGGTGTCACTTTGTGTTGAAAAGTGGTGGGGACATAGAGGCTCAGATGAGGGTTGTGAAGAGACACAAGAAATCATGATACGTGATATTAGGTTCACGAGAACAAGAGGAAAAAATCCTTAAACAGTGTTTTAAAGATATCCTCAATGCCGAGATATATGAGTGAGGGTCTGGAAATTTTGATCATTAAACAGTTAATTTTCTGCATTCTGGTAAACATTTCTGCACCAGTTTATGGTGGAAATGTTTTTATTTATGTGAAAGGAAACACAAAATTAAGGTGGCAGGTGACATTTCAAATTATATAAATATAATAGAATATAATACAGTGCAGTTCACAGACATTCTGTGTTTCTTTCAGATGTTTCTCCTGTAGATCAACTTTTCTCATGTAATATCAGGCAACACGTATGTAGGCATGATTTAGTCTTTCCTCCTCTTTTGTCATGTTGTTGTTGTTGTTAAAGTTACTGATTGGTGCATGCACGTTAAAATAAAATACAAAAACAATTTAATGTAGGAATTTACTGAAGGGTTTTACAGGATTACTGGATTTTGTTACCTTTGGACAGAGCTAGGCTGGCTCTTTCATTCCATTTCCAGTCTTGGTGCTAAAATAAGAAAACCAGCTGCTGGCTGTTCCCTTATATATAATGAAAATATATAATACTCATAATGCCCTGTTTGTTTTTACTTTTATATTACATTATTGGATAATTATTACACCTGTATTAATGTGCAAGTAGCATTTTACTGTTGTAGTTGGTCTAGGTCAAGCTAATTTCATATATCATCATCATATATTTTGTATGTAAAATCTTCAACTATAAAGTAACCTGTAATTACAGCTGTCTAATAAATGACATAAAAATGTAATTCAGTATAAATATAAAGTGGCATGAAATAGAAATACTCAAATACAGTACATTCACCTCAGATTTGTACTTTTTCACATTTTACCACTGAACCTTGGTTTCTTTTCAAGCATCATAAGGCACATGGTAGCCCTTCCCATACTGGATGGTGACTGGTGTTAAGCTCGTCTGTCAGTCTGTCTGTGTATCTGTCATTATTCATGGTGATGAACCCAGTCTGTGAACATGAACCTGCCCCAGTTCCCTGGTTAGGGAGTTACCCAGGAGCAGATGGAGGAATCAAAGGCCACATTACACACGCATACACACGCACTGAACAAGCTTTACATTATTTACAACTGCCCAGTAAGCATCAATTCACATGGTCTTGCCAGTTTATCCATTATGTATCGAGTCAGTGAGCATTGTAGCATACACACACACACACGCACATACATTTAAATAACATGTTCAAAATCATATATTCAACAACTAGGCAATAATTTAAGACAGAACATTATTATTACATACATTAAAATCTCCTTCAAAAAAAGTTCTAAAAGGTGTTATGTGTTATGTTCTCTCTGAAGATCGTCTCGACTCAGCGTTTCCAGTCTGTTGTTTGCAATCTCTAAGAATACATTAAAATGTTGTTTCATATATGCTGTAGGAGACATGCCCATATTTATAATAGAATGGGAATCCTATATTATGGCCAGGCTTTTACCACCATGTAGTTATCATTAGAAGACATACATGTCTTGTGACAGGGCTGGCTCAGGGATGTGACGGGGTGTCGGCTTGGCTTTTTTGGATGAGTGCTCCGGCTGTGTGTTGGGGCTATCAGGCAAGAGGTTGTGTGTGGGCTGGAGAGTGGATAGGTGCATGAGGTACAGGAGGGAACACACAACAAAGCACAGGGCAAACACAGAAGGAATGAAACAGAAAATAGGATGTGACAGAAAATCTGCCCAAACCACAGAAGAGTCGGTTTAAGAGCGGAGGGTTTGACATGAAAAAGATTGAAGAGCAAACAGAGAAAGGGATGATTATGGCAACATTGAGGTAAATGGGGTTTCTGTGTGTTTCTTGGTATATTTGCATGTGGGCGTTTGTGGGTGCAAAATATGGGACACACAGATAAGAACTAACGTTTTTAACAAAGATTTTTTCTTAAGAAACCACTTTAAATGGGATACATGCCAAACAGTTGTATTGTGTCCAGGTTTTGGAGAGTTTACAGAAAGCGTTTACAGGAATAGTCTGACATTTTGAGAAATACACTTATTAGCTTCCTTGTCGAGAGTGTTAGTAGAACATTGAGATCACTCTTAAATCTGTATGGTAAATATAGCCAGTTAGCTTGACCTTAGCAGAAAGACTATTGAAACTGTGGGAAACAGCTACGCTGGTTCTGTCAAAAAGGTTAAAAATGCTCCTACCAACATTTCTAAATGCACTAATTAATACATTTTGGGTGACTGTATTGCACTCAGATAGTGCCACATGAAAGTAGAGGTATAAAAGCACCAAAGACGCACTGAGGGCGGATTGTCGACCTCCGGGAGTGTTCTGGGAAGAATTGTGACCAAGCGAGAATCTTCCAGTCTGAGACGTGAAGTCAACGCGGAAGTCCCTTAAACCTGCATTCTATTCAATGGCCAGCAGGGGGCGACTCTTCTGGTTGCAAAAAGAAGTCTAGTTCTATTAGAAATAATGGTAAAATGACCCTACTTCACTTTAGTAATGACTTTATGGTCTCAATCACTAGTTTCATGTCTTGTTCAACACAGCATGATGTTCATTTAGTAAATTATGGTCCCATTTAGAGGAAAATAGACCATAAAGCAGAGTATGCTTCAGGGCAGGATTGATAAGTTGTTATCATGGCGATCTGTCAATAAAGCTAGAATGACTCGTACCCACAGCACTGTGTAAATTTAACCAGCGCCGTTGAAAAAGCTTATTAGGAGTTGGCTGGCTCTGATGAGCACATTTAGTTTTAAGACTCAGCTCTGTTAAAATGACAGTTAACGTGAATTACAGATGAACCTAGCTAAGCAAGCTAGCTAGCTCCACACACGGGGGCTAGCTCCACCGTCTCGTCCAAATATGGTTACGTCTGGTGCCGCTGGTTGCAAAAACTCAACATGGCTGCGCCCTATTGGCCAAACCCGAGGCTTCAAAACGGCAGTCCACAAACCAACAAGTGACGTCACGATGACTACGTCCACTTCTTAAATGCAATCTATGATTGTGACCACATGGAACAGAAGTGTAAATGCAATTATGTTGTCAGTCCACATACATCTATGTGGAGAGAAATTTGACTTCTGCAAATAAAATCAAATGTTTGACAGCACATACAGGCAGTGTGTCCAGTATTGTACATGAACGTGCAACATGGGTGTGTAATCCATGTAGGAAAACATCAGTGGAAAGGCCCAGAGCTCAGAGGCGGTTCAGAAAGTTATTATACAGTCTATATGCAGCGTTAACCTCCGCTTAATGTTTTTAGTCTTCAGTACATATACTAAGCTAAACCAACCATCTTTTAGCTGTAGCTTCATGTTTAATGGACTGAAATGAAAGTGGTAATGATCTTCTCATCTAACTCTCAGCAGGAAGGCAAATAATATTTCCCAAAATGCTGAACTATTCCTTTAGAGGAGATGGCACATGGAAATAGCTGTGATTAGAATGGAAAAAAGGGTCAGAGAGGGAGAGAGAGTGAGGAGCAACTCAGAAGGAAAAAGAGGCAAAAATGTGAGAGGGCATATCTCAATACTGAGAATGAATTTTCTTGTTGAATGAAAGGAAGGACTCAGGGTCTGTCGTGCCAAGAAATGAAAAAGGATCAAGGGGAGAAACAAAGAACTTGCTCTTTCAAAGACGAATATTCTCACTTGGTTGGGTGCTGCCACTGGTGGAAAAACAGTCTTAAGTTCAGAGGAAGATGAAATACAGTAACCACAAGGCAAGTGCATTAGCATGCACCACAGTGACTGCAGATAAATCAGATTGAATGCCTTTAACAAACAAAACAAACATACCTGAAAAATATGCAATATGCAAAAAGTTTGACAAAAAGTGCTCAACTTAACTTTCACTTACTCACTCTCTGTGTTCCGTCTTGAAACATACTCTATACCCTCCTCTTGCCAAAACACACAGGCCCACACACTCACCACATCAATGATTTGTAGCAGTGTGAGGCCGAGTTCCACCACAATGGGTGCAGAGTCGTTTTGGACAGGCCTTTCCAGCCGATTGTAGTTCACCATCAGCTCACGGTACAGCTTTCTCTGGTACACACCGCCATGACAGCCTGGAGTAATAAAGGGAAAGGAACAATATCAGTGAGACAAAGGGAAGGATGAAGGACAGGAAGGAGTTGAAGGATAGGAGTCGTTTGGGGCCCTATACGCTCACCAGCAAGTTGCGGAGGAACTCCAATGGAACTCACGCTTTCTAGCAGCAACCTCTGCTGGGACCAGTCCAGACAATATTAATGGGGGTGATAGCACGCCTCATAGCTGGATGTAATTTTAAAACATCACAATTATCATCCACCGCTCAGTCAAGGTGACAACTCTGGAATAATTCAAGATGGAAAGTAATGGATTGACACTGACTATTGATTAAATATTGAATTTAAAATATTGATTAGCCAAGCATACTGGGCAATATGGACGCACATTTTTCAGTAAATAATAACCGTTCAAATAGGTATTCAGCCAAGCCAGAGTATAAACAGTATTAAAAATAAACAGTAAACAGGGGAAGCCAGTTTGAATGGGCCTGATAATATTTCTTACTCTAATAATTAAAAATGGTTGTCCCCTCATTTTTTTCTACTTCAAGCTCTCCAGATGGACGGAGCAAACTGTTTTAAAGGAGGGAGTTTGTAGTGGGAGCACAGTCAGATGTTACTGTGTGATAATGGCAAATGATTTACATGGCTCACAAGTCAGGTAGGTGGGCACCTTAGCAGAAGTTTGCTTGGGGCCCCAGGGAGGTCAGGACTGGCTCTGGCAGGTAGTCCAATTAACGTTACATTAACCACACAAGTCAATTTTTAATCATTTTAATATTTGCCGTCAATCAGTCTAGATACAATCTGGACATGCTAAAAAATGATTTGGGCCGGCAGTCTGAACAAGACCTGTGTGTAAGAAAACGTCCTACTTTGGTGCCCCCAGTGGTGCTACTGAAAAAGTCACTGCAACTGACAGCAATGTACGACCAGGGTACAACAAGATGAAAGGAACACATAATAATTCAAAATATGCTATAATCACAAACAAGTCTAAACACTGCGGCTTCAAGCTATCATCCTCTGAAACTGCAGACCAGATTCTTCTCCCACATAAAGGTGATACCAGCACAACATTCACAAAAGCTCCAGACTCCCTCATCCTTCAGTGTCTCATCTTAGCCAGAATTGAAAAGGTCTCAGACCACATCTCCCCAGTGACCCTTGTCCAAATTAGATGTTGTCTAAACATATTCCAGCAATTACCAAGTGACAGCCAAGATGTGAGTGCACCCACAATGACTGAGTGGATGACTAATTAGCAAATGAGACAAAAACAAAGACAGACAGCTCACTGTGTGTTTGTGTGTGAGGGTGTTGGCGAGTGTCAGATGGGGCACCCCTAAATCTTGGCACGACAGGGAATCTGCATAATGGGTGAAAGTGGCAACCAGCACAAGTGTTGAGAATCAATGGAGTGAAGCGAGCCCAGCCAAACCAAGCTGAATAGAGTTTAGCTCACCATTTCAGCGCCCTGGCACTGAGCCACATCTCTGAATGGGTTAATCTATAATAGTAAATTTAAAGTCAATCCACCTACATCCTGTGTTTCCATTGTTTGTAGAAAAATGATACATCCGGCATTTGTATTAAAACATTTTCTTGTCCTTTAAGTTGCAACACTCCATGCAAAAACCTCCTGTTCCTCCTGCACACGAGACAGAGGATGGCACAGTCAAGTGCAGTAAGTTCTGAACAATTTGTTTTCTGAGGTTCAAGCAGAGACACACACACAGGCATGGCAGGTTTATTTGTCTAGTACCTTTCAACACCAAGGCAATTCAAAGTGCTTTACATACAGAAAGGCCTTAAGAAAAGATTCAGTGTGAGCTACTAACAGGTACAGCAGACTGCACTAGATACATACAACATGTTGTTAGTTAGTTGTGATGACTTATTCCAGAGCGTCCTCAGGCAGTGGGTCTGTGTCATTAGACTGGGCTTTGGTTTGCATTAAGGCAGCTTTCCGAGAGCTACATGTTTATCCCCACAGTGTCCCATATCTGATGCTTTGTGTCAGTAGTTCAGTAGTTATGTAATGTCTCGCTTACTCACAACTTATTCTGTATGCCTCCTTCTTGTTAATGTGCTGAATGTTTGTATTTACACAGCGCCTTGCTGAGCATGTACAGTCTACTAATATATTGTACTAGTTGGCCCCTTATTTAACATCTAGATGAAAAGACTGGCCTATCAATACCTTTAGATGCTAGCAAAATTTACTTTGAAACAGTCACATTTAAAGCATAGCGTAACACTGAAAATCTTGTTTTTGTATGTAGGCATGATTTTGTCATGTTCAAAGGGAGAGAACGGAAAACTTGTTGTTGATATTGTTAAAGTTACTGATTGGTGCATGCATGTTTTTGGGTCATTTTTATAATCAGTAGCTTGTTTTTTTAGCTTAGGTTACTTTTTAGGACAATGCACATTTGTTTCTTCTATATTTTAGTTGTACTGCCTGTTTTCTTAATGTGCAAATAAACCTTTCTAAAGGCATATTAATTTTTTATTTAATTGCAAGCTATATTTCAGAATTTTCTTTTAACAAATTATGCAAACTCAGCCATTTCAAAAAGTGGTGGCAGCCTCCCCAGTGTAAATGACACCTATGGTCAGCATACCACAGCAACTGACCACACCCAACCACAAAACATCTGAAATGTTCAACCAGAGGGCAGTGAGACACTGCTTTTCTGCCTGGTGTTGAACTCATATTAATCTTATTTAGCTGAAAATATACAGATCAATATCACTTGACAAATTACAGCACAGAAACCATTACCATGTACAGAGGAAGCTAGATGTCACAACCATGCAAAGGGATGCTGTAGCATGATCTTTCTATCAAACATGTAGCCTCTTGTTTTGGCCCTTTTAGGTCAGGATGTTTTTTTGTGTTTTTCACATGTCACATTAAACCTGAAGGTGTTGTGTGGAACAGCCTTTGTTTCTGTTGTAAGACCAATCTTCTTTTCTTTTTGCAAGGTCAAGCCATGTAATGTGGCGTGTGTCTAAGATAAAGATTGCCAGGTTTCCTGCACAAAACTGCCAACAGGAATGTATAGGGTCTTCTGTAAGTCTTTTCTTTCTGTGACAACTTCACAACTTTACAATCATTTAGTTCGAAAAGTTACAGCAATATGGCTTTTATGTCTTCTGTAAAAAACTCTTACACAAAAAACTGGCCTTGCCTCGCTTGTTTTGTACATTCCATGCTGTTGCACAATAGGAATTCATATAGCATGGGAATGAATGGAGGCACAGACAGATGATTAAAATGATTCATTGGAACGAATGAAGAACATCAAAGCCTCAGTTCTCATGAAACGGCTGGGGAAAGTCCTGCTGATTGTTGTGAGGGATGAGAACAGATAGCTCATCACTTGTTCAACATGAGTTTCCTGCCCAAGTGTACTTGGCTGACAGTGTGACCTGTCACGTTAAAGGTGGTCACAGGGGTTTTAAGTAAGACCAGATTACTGTCTCCTTATGTTGTGTAGCCCTAAGGGTAACTATGGCAGTGTGCAAAATGTGTGGGAAAAAGTCACTCTTTCTGCACTCTGTGTGTGTGTGTGTGTGTGTGTGTGTGTGCGCAGCTGCAGCTAATGGATCGATCAATGAACAAAATACCCACTCACAATTTATGGATTCTCACATTTCATTCAAATACTCACTATTCCGTTATTGTGAAGGTCTTACAGTACACATGTAGTCATTATTTAGTCATTTTAGCTGTGATCTGAGATTCGTTTAGAAATGTGACTGGGGAAATGAATGAGCAACACTCTTCCCTGCCTCAAAACCTGTAACTCTGATGAGTCAAAGTTCTACCTCAATATGGCCTGTGGAGACTAGAGAATAGGTATTGGCATGTACTCTATATATACATGTAATGTATCTAGCTTTTTTTAGCTTCGTTTCTTATGCTGTTTATTTCATCCATTTTAAATAGCTCTTTATACTGTTTCTTGAAGGACGATGCTTAAAAGGCTGTTGTTGTCATGGGCAGCATGGACTGCGCTGTAAATCAACATAATGCTCACAGCACCATTACAAAAAAAAGAAAATCAATTGACCAAAAGTTCAAGTACTAAATATAACAGTCAGCATTGCATTTTTAAATCAGTCCAAATTTTCATGTCACAATGATTTCTACATGGAGACATCTGCACCTGAAATGCATGAAAACACAGTACAAAGTACAAATCTTCAGTGTCACTGAATTCACTTCAACTTCAAATACAACACACTGTTTTGTTTCAGGGAGGGCAGTGACTAGTAAGTCTCCATACTGCAATGTAGGGCTGCGATCAACAATTATTTTATTATTGATTATTCTGATTCTGATATTATTCTTTTCTCAATTAATCATTTGGTCTATAAAACATCAGAAAAATGTCCGTCACAGTGTCCGAGCTCAAGGTGATGTCATCAAGTGTATTGTTTTATCCGTCCAACAGTCCAAACCCCAAAGATATTTAATTTATCTAAAAGCAGAACAAAGAGTAACAGTAAAAATGTAAATCATGAAATGATTGCTAGAAAAAGCACTGAAATTATTAATCGATTATCAAAATAGGTGCAGATAAATTTCTTGTCTGTTTAATTGACTAATTGTTGCAGCTCTTCTGCAATACAACAACATAGTATTTTTCAACCACATTCAGCAGCACATTTCAGGGCCACTAAGCTTAGTACGGCAAAGATGCGCACCAAGTGTGCTCTTTTTTTAATTCTTAATGCTCATGCCTGCAGTGTATTTCAGTTGCAAATGTTTTTTTTTGTAGGGTTAGAAAATGTGACGCACTGTAGCAGAAGAGATAAGGTACCTTCACATTATACTTCTCTCTCCCTTTTACTTCAACCACATTTTTCCTGTTCAGATGCAATCTTCTGGCCATCTCTGCCAGACTTGCAAGTAAGTGTTCACCTTTGTTAAACTTGCTTATTTACCTGATTGGGCAATATAAATACTGAAATAAAACTGATACACTGTGTTTGGGAATGAA